ATCACATACTGGACAGTTAACCACACACAAATCTCATCATTTATATTAATTATAACTATAGGATGTTTACATGAAATATTTCCCTAGCTGACACATATACAAAAAAGCCAAATTTTAGAGACAATCTATAGTGGGAAAAAATATTTATAACCAGAACATTTGATAAGGGTTAATATTCAAAACATAAGAAACTTCAACAATTGTATAGGAAGAAAACAAATAACTTCCATTAAAAAATGAAGAAAGGACCCAAGTAGAACTTTCTCAAAATAAGATACACAAATGGCCAATAGGTCTGTGGAAAAAATATACTCAACATTACTTATCATTAGGAAAATGCAAATTAAGACCACAATAGATAGCCATCCCACCTATCAGAATTATTACTATCAAAAAGACAAAAGGTAAGTTTTAGCAAGGATAAGGAGAAAGGGGAACACTTATACACCATTGTTATGAATGTAAATTAACACAGCCACTATGGAAAACTATGTGGAGATTCCTAAAAAAATCAAAATAAAAATAGAACTACCATATGATGTAGTAGTCCCCTTTCTGAGTATTAACCAAAAGGATTTGAAATCACTGTATCAAGGAGAAGTCTGCCTTCTCATGTGCATGGAAACACAATTCATAACAGCCCCTTACAGAACCAACCTAAATGTCCATCAACAGACGAACTGATAAAGAAACTGGGGTATACATACAAAATGGAATATTCGTCTGCCTTTAAAAGAAAGTTTGCTATTTGCAACAACATGGGATATACCAGGAAAATATTATGCTAAGTGAAATAAACCAGGCAAAGAAAGACAGTACCACACATTCTCATTTTTAAGTGGAATTTAATTTAAAAAATCAAACTCCCAAAAAATCAGAGGAGAACAGTGAATAGCTAGCTGGTGAGTAATGAATAGAGTATGGATACCCTGAACAAAGGGATGATTTACTTCCTGTATGGAATGAAGTGAGAGGCTGGGGGTTGAGGGACTGAGGAAAGGATGGCCATCAGGTACTAAGCCTCAGTTAACAAGAGAAGCATCTGTGTGTGAGATCTATTACACAACATGGTGAATACAGTTAATAAAAGTCTACTGTGCACTTCAAAATCACCAAGAAGGTAAGCTCCAAATATTCTCGCCACAAAAAAAAATTGAGTATTTGAGATGATTGATATGCTCATTAGATAGATTTAAATATTCTACATTGGAATTATAAATCATGACATCACTTTGTAGTCCATAAATATGTACAAATATGACAATTTATAACAAAAATTTTAAAAATAAAATGCATCCTATTTTCTTCCATTCTTTAAAAGGCTGCTTTCCATTGGTAGAATCATTTTAGAAATTTTGTTATCAAATTTCACCAGTAAATTGCGCCCCCTCCACCAAACAAGAAATGATCAAAGTTCACATTCTGTCTACATTGTAGCCTAACTACTATTTACCAAAATATAAAGAGTTGGCTTATCTTACTAATATAAGAAATACCTACTGTTTTTTTTGTACAAAAGAACTTCAAAACAGTTTGACTCGTAGTTGTCAAAAGTCTGCCTGACTTTCTCAATGGTCTTCTTGTCGGTCAATTCCCCATACATAAAACTGGAAAAGAAAAAAGAAAAAAGAAATAAAACAAGCTTCAGTTTTGTGTTGTTTTTAAAATGCTACATAAAATCATAAGTCATCTTTTATTAAGCATTCAAATATGCCTACAAAACAGAAATGTTGCTCCCATACAATGAGCTAAAATATATAGAACATTGTTTAGATAAATTTTTTGAGCTTGAGGCTTACAACATAATGCTATAGGACACATATACACAGTAAAATGTTAACCCATGTTTTCATTATGATTTCTAAACTACTTGCTAACAGCTAACTTAAGAAGTTACAGATAGAAGGAAAGAGAGAGAAAATAAATAAATAAATGATAGATGGATAGATAGATAGATAGATAGATAGATAGATAGATAGATAGATAGATAGATAAAGATTGGGGACAGGGAGTCCCTGCTTTACACAATTCCTCTGTGCATGGTATTTCATTACCACGAGTTAGTTAAATAACACCAATTTCATAACAACAACATTCAAATTTCAGTTACCACACTATATTAACAAAGTAACTGGATAAGTACAAACTTCACTGCTAGTTACAAAACATGAGTACAGTCATTACCCCTTATCCATTGTTTGGCTTTTTGTGGTTTCAGTTACCTATGGTCAACATTGATACAAAAATATTAAATGACAAGTTCCAAAATAAACAATTTATAAGTTTAAAATTGTGTGCTATTCTGAGCAACAATATAAAATCTCTAAACTTCTTTCTCTTTCCTAACCAGGATGTGAATCATCCCCTTTTTCCAGAGTATCCAAACTCTATATGCTACTCACCAGTTAGTTACTCTCTACTCATCTCAGTTATCAAATCAATTGTTGCAGTTTTGCAGTGTTTATGTTCTAGTAACCCTTATTTTACCTACCAAGGGTCCCAAAGTGCAAGAGTAGTGACTCTGGCAATTCAGATAGGCCAGAAAAAAAGCATAAAGTGTTTCCTTTAAGTACCAAGTTTTAAAAAAAAAAAAAGTCCAATAGGATACAAGAAGATATTTTGATAGAAAGAACATTAAGAGAGAGGAAGAAAGAAAAATAAATAAATAAATAAATAAAAAGAGGCTCTTAGACTTATGGGACATAAGGGGACTTATGAGACACCTGGGGATTTCAGAAAATAGAGAGAAAGGAAAGGGTCTAGAAAACCTAGTCAATGAAATAGCACAAACTTCCCTAATCTTGTGAAATACATAGACATCCAGGTCCAGAAATCCCAAAGGACCACAAACAGATTTGACCAAAAAATGTCTTTGCCGTGGCATATTACAAACTGTCAAAGTTCAAGACAGAATTCTAAAAAAAGAACAAGATAAACTCATCATTCATAATCATGTCACATTTAAAGGTATCCTTATTAGACTATTGCTAGATCTTTCAGAAGAAATCTTACAGACTAGAAGGGAATGTGATGCCAAATTTAAAGTTCTGAAAGAGAAAAAATAATAATATTATATTCAACAAAGCTATGAAGAAATGAAAAAGAATTAAAGACTTTCTAAGACAAACAAAAGTTGAGAATTCCTCACCACCACAATAACCTTATGAATTATACTTAATTATTATATATATTATATATAATATATGTGATTTATATTCCATAATTAAAGGACATAGATTGGATGAATGGAATCTACATATAGAAGTGAAAGACTCATGAAAATATATGAAAGTATAAAATCCACAGAAGAGCAATTACACAAAAGAGAAGTGTCTGTTCAGGTCCTTGGCCCATTTATTGATTGGGTTATGTGGTTGGGTTTTTTGTTTTGATTTTGGTTTTGGGGGGTTTTTTTGTTGTTGTTTTTTTTTGGTGTTTAACTTATGAGTTCTTTATATACCCTAGTGATTAGTGCTCTATCTGATGTGTGAGAGGTAAAAATTTGCCCCCAAGATGTAGGCTCTCTATTCACCTCACAGATTGTTTCTTTTGCTGAGAAGAAGCTTTTTAGTTTGAGCCCAACCCATTTATTGAATCTTGATTTTACTTCTTATGCCACAGGAGTCTTATTAAGGAATCTGGGGCCTAATCCCACATGATGTAGATTAGGGCCTACTTTTTTTTTCTATTAGACACAGGGTTTCTGGTTGTATTCCTAAGTCCTTGATCTATTTTGAGTTGAGTTTTATGCATGGTGAGAGCTGGGGGTTTAATTTCATTTTGCTGCATATGGATTTCCAGTTTTCCCAGCACCATTTGTTGAAGAGGTTATTTTTTCTCCAATGCATGTTCTTGGCATCTTTGTCTAATATAAGATAAGGACCTGAAGAGTTACTTCTCAGAAGATGATATACAATCAATCAACAAATACATGAAAAATATATTCATTATCACTAGCAATTAGAGAAATGCAAATCAAAACCACTCTAAAATTTTATCTTACTCCAGTCAGAATGGCAGCTATTATGAAGACAAACAACAATAAGTGTTGGTGAGGATGTGGGGAAAAGGATATACTCATACACTGCTGGTAGGACTGCAAATTGGTGCAGCCAATATGGAAAGCAGTATGGAGATTTCTTGGAAAACTGGGAATGGAACCATCATTTGACCTAGCTGTCCATCTCTTCAGTCTATACCCAAAGGACTTAAAAAAACAGCATACTACAGGCAAATAGCCACATCAATATTTATAGCAGCACAATTCACAATAGCTAAACTGTGGAACCAACCTAGATGCCCTTCAGTAGATGAATGGATAGAAAAAAATGTGGCATATATACACAATGGAATATTACTCAGCAATAAGAGAGAATAAAATCATGACATATGCAGGTAAATGGATGGAGTTAGAGAAGATAATGATAAGTGAAGTTAACCAATCCCAAAAAAAACAAATGCCGAATGTTTTTTTCTGATATAAGCAGGCTGATTCATAGTGAGGTGGGTGGGGAGCCTGGGAGGAATAAATGGACTCTAGATAGGGCAGAGAGGTGGGAGGAGAAGAGAGGGGGCATGGGGTTAGCAGTGATGGTGGAATGTGATGGACATCATTATCCAAAGTACATGTATGAAGACACAAATCATTATGAATATACTTTATGTACAACCAGAGATATGAAAAATTTGTGCTCTATATGTGTAATAAGAATTGTAATGCATTCTGCTTTCACATATAAATTAAAAATTACATTAAAAAAGAGAAAGAGAAACGGAGCGAATCTTATCAATACAGAAAACCACTAACCTTTACATACCAATAACAACCTTGAATGTAAGTGAATTATATTCCCTAATTAAAGGACATAGATTGGATGAATGTATTAAAAAGAATAAACCAACAATATGCTGCTACAAGAAACTTATTTCACCAGTAAGGACACAGTGACTAAAAATGAAGAAATGGAAAAAGAGTTTCCACACAAACAGAAAATAAAAGCAAGCATAAGTAGCTATACTTATATTAGCTAGAACAGATTCTAAATAAAAAGAAAAAAATTGTCATAGTGACAAAGAGTCACTACATTATGATTAAGGGATCAACTCAACAAGAGGTATAAATTGTCAATGTATATGCACCTAATACCAGAGTACCTAATTTTGTAAACCAAATATTATTAGATTCAAAGAGAGAAGCTATGATAACACTATAATAGTTGGGGACTTCAATACCTCACCTTCATCAATGTACAGATCATTCAAACAATCAACAAAGATCAGAGATGGACCAAATGGAAATGAGAGACATTATAGAACATTTCCAAAAGCTGCAGAATACACATTCTTTAGCACATGGACATGCTTTGGGATAGGACAGATTTTAGAGTGCAAAACAAGTCTCAACAAATTCAAAAAAATTAAATAATTTCCTGTATCTTGTCTGACAACAATGAAGAAAAAACTAAAATCAACAATGAAAAGAACTTTAGAAATTGTACAAATATGTAAAAACTAAATAATATGCTTTGGCACAAAAAGTGAGTCATTGAAGAAATCAAAAGGGACACTGCAAAATTTCTTGAAACAAATAAAAATGGAAACACAATATACCAAAACTTATGAGATACAGCAAAAGTAACACTAAAAGGGAAGCTTTAGCCATAAGTGATAACATTAAAAAAAAAGAAAGAAAAATTCATTTAAACAACCTAAAAAAATCTGTCTCAAAGAATTTGAAAGGAACAAGCCAAGCCCCAAATTAGTAGATAAAGAGAAATACCAAAGATCAGAGCTGAAATAAACAAAACAGAGACTAAAACAACCACACAAAAGAATGATAAAATGGACAATTGGTTTTTGGAAAGATAAACAAAATTAACAAATCTTCAGGTACACTGACAAATGAAAACAAAAAAAGGGAGAAGACCCAAATAAATAAAATCAGAGATGATTGAGGAGATAATAGAACTGAGACCACAGAAATACAAATTATCATGGCTAATACAAACAATTATACATGACAAATTAGAAACCTTAGAAGAAACTATTTCAAAAAACTGAAAGGGAGGGAACTTTTCCAAACTTATTCTATGAAGTCAGCATTACCCTGATACCAAAATCAGACAAGGACAATAATAAAAGAAAAATAGAGATCAATATCTCATAATAAAAGAAAAATAGAGATCAATATCTCTTATGAACACAGATGTAAAAATTATCAACAAAATACTACTCAGACTGAATCCAACAGCACAGAAAAAGATTATCCATCACAATCAAATGGGATCTATCTTAAGGATGCAAAGATGGTTCAACATTAGCAAAACAATAAATGTAATACATCACATCCACAGAATAAAGAACAAAAACCTTAAGATCATTGCAAGATATGCAATAGAAGCACTCAATAAAATTCAACATCCTTTCATGATTTAAAAAAATAAAATAAAATAAAACATCTGAACAAATCGGTTGTAGAAGGAACCTACCTCAACATAACAAAGGCTCTATATGACAAACCCAGAGCAACATCATAGTGAACACAGAAGAGCTGAAAGTGTTTCCTCTAAGATATGGAATAAGACAAACTTTTTACCACTCTTAATGA